TCTACCGGTGTTGATGCAAATATTTCAAATTCAGTCCATAAATGTGTCTGGCCTCCAAATATGGGTACGCGAAGGTTTTGGCCGGAAAATTGTTTATTCGGGAACCAGGACCGATCATTTTCAATTAGCAGCTGGTTACTAGAAATTATTCATTTTCCTTCATGCTTCAAGTTACGGTAATTTGCGAGAATGTATTCCTGGTTGCATGAATTCCTCGACAAATGATGGAACTGGAGACATTTTTTGGCTGGAGTTGTGCTAGCACAACAGCATAAAAACAAACTCCCAGGTGACTTTTCTACTCGGAATGTATAAAATTATGTACAATAAGTTGCAGAATACCAGTAATGAATGAAAAAAAAAGCGCCCAGACGATTTACGTCAACAGAAACAGTGGGGGAAAAATCATTAAAAAAGGAAGACAAATGTTCAAAACAGAGAACAAAGAAAGTGTGAACTTTACGATACAATAACCATGGTCCAGCCTCTGCACAGGGCGTAAGTCCGTCGAATACTGAACGATTATTTCACACGGTTAAGGTAAAAAAGAACTGAAGCAAAATATGGTATAAAAATCTTACAGCATCACAATATTACAAAAATGAAACAACACTACTCCCATCCAAAATTTATCTACCGAGGGCACATTTGGAATTCCGATAGTCCAACAGATGGATAACCACTGTACTCCTCCCAAAAAAAAAACTATGGAAAAATTCTTTTTATTCAGCAAAAAACTTGCAAGATCAAAATAACAAATAAATTATCGGGGAAGACAATAATTAATCGAGTTTCTTTTTAAAAAAAGGATACGCCCTAACTGGGTATTTGTAATGCAGATTACATGTCCAACCCGCTTCTCATCAATGTGACCAGAAGTAACACTGCCATATCTCGGCGTTATAAGCAATTCTGGCCCACCCAGATTTGTCTTCTCTTTTTAGAAAATCCCGGCTGCCCAGAACATCAACAAAAGGAACATCAATATATAATGAAAAGTAAATCAGCGTGGAAAAATAGATGGCTCAACAAGGAATGCATGTAAAACATAACAAATAGAACTGAAATTTTTAAAAATGCATAAGTTCTGAGCAAAAAATGCAACACGTGGAATGTGAGGAACCAGTCTTGGAAGACCATACTTTGGGAGTTTTTTGAAAGTTTTTGGAAGTTTTGGAAAAAGTTAAATAAAAAATCACTTTGTTTTTATACTCTGTTAAGCCGTTGCAGTTCAGAATAGATCGACCTGACATGGTTATGTTAGGTATCTAAGGGAACCTCAGCAATACTTAACATAACATGCAAGTCACATAACTCACTGCTCGGTAATTATTAGTACTTTTTGCTGCATTTTTTCCAGTAGCACTCATGCACGGCATTAACAATTACGCTGATGACGAAGCATCCGAAGGCGTACGGAATGAATCGCTGACACGGGTTCGGTGCACTCGCACTGTTGAGCCCGATGAAGATAAGCTGCTTAATCGCTGCGCATTGAAAACAGTGAACCAATCGAGATACGAGCTGAGCATTACTGCAGCATCTTCTTGTGAAATATCCAGCGATAAAAGATACTAAAATGTCCCAGGTTTTTACGAACATTTACAAGCTGCTCTCTGATTTTTATTTTTTTTTTACTCTCAAGAAAACAGCGTAGCTATGGGGTCCACCTTATTTACAATTACTCATCAGATATTACTTTGTCGTTCACATAAACGCACATATCCTAGCCGTTAGAAAGCCAAATCGCGGCTTGGAAATGGTAATAATGATGCCGAAATAGTGATGCTCAAAAAACATTAAGGGCATTTGGGAAATAGCTGAACCCATGCCAAACTCTTTTGTCGGTAGAATAACTATCTTCCAGACACGAAGAGACTTCAGAATCGTTATTAGACTAACCACTAAGCGAGCGATGAAGCGCTTATGACTAGAAAAGTCGTCAGCTGTAAGGATACAGAACTAGGCTATGGACTGCAGCTAATATTTGTTAAGTTAAACAGTAGCAATTTAGTTAAAACAAAAACATAAAAATACGAATTTTCCAGTACTGTAGCTCAGAACACGTATACTCTGCACGAGTTAAATCAGTGCCAAACAAACATCCACAGTTTACACTTTTCAAATTTTTTAAAAAATTTCCAAAACACTTAAATGAGTCTCTGTTGTTTCATAATGATCACACTAACAAGACAGAAATATGCTTTTCACGCTAATGATTACGGAAAAAAACAGTATGAGTGTAGATGCTTTTTTTTTCTTTTGAAAAGTATCCTACCAACGTCGTTGCGTTATACAGCTACAAACTCTCTCTATATGCGCCCTCGAAAAAAAAAAACCATCTTTCATAGCTTCGGCACTAGTCACAGGACTACAAAAAGAGCACTGACGGTAATTAAAACACAGCTATGTACATTTCCATCGAAGCTTGCGAATGGTATAGACACATGAAAACAGCAGAAAAACGCTTCTGACCATTGGACAAACTGTGAGTTGACTAGTTCCAAAGTTAGAAAACTAATAAGTAAGTTACAGCGAAATATGACCGACACGAAAAGCAACATAGTAAATGGTATTCGAACCATAAAAATACCTCTTGGTTAAGAATTTCGTCGAGATCCGAAAGAACAAACTGCGAATTGTTGTCAAACAGATGTTTGTATTTCAACATTTTCAATTTTTTTAGCCACCTGAACAAAATTACTGCTCAATACACCTATTACTTTGTCAAATCAATGCTTTTTGCTCGCTAACTATTAATGATAGAGTAATAGCATTTACAACATACATCAGGACGCTTCCCATGTTGTTGAAGCAACAACATCAATCGAGACGGGGAATACTGTCCACGGGAACTGCTCGCGTGGAATGGATGTCCCTGAAAGTTCAACACCAGCCGTTTAGCAACGCTTTAAAACGGAACAAGAGAACTTTACTGCAGAACCGTTGCGATAAATCATTATTATCTCTTTCTGCTAAAGCTTCGAAACGAATCATACAAGACGCATTCGCCTTCGCCCAGCCCTTAATGTATCTTAAAAATTTAAAAAAAAGAAAATCCAATGCAATACTTGAGAACAACAAATTCTACCAAAAAGTTGCTGCACTTATCTGACAAAGTCAGTCTATAATAGGGTTACACAATTCGTTACTTTTCAGAAGCCGATAATTATAAATGCAAGAATAAATGCCCGGCGTGTCAAGCAGCAGTGGCGTTGAACAATTTGACAGGGAAAAGGCTAATGAAATATAACGAAAGGCTTGCTTGCTGCTAATATGCTCCGCGAAAAATCCACTAGCTCACCGACTGCCGGTGCGAAGATGCGTTTTTTGCATAGTTCGCCGCAAGTTTTTTGTCGCTAACGGTGGCGTGGCGCTTTTTTTTCGGCAGACGATTCTAAGCTAAAAGAATTGAGACTGACCACCAAGACTGTCAGAAACTAACCCCTTAAAATTTCAGCTTTTTAGCTTTTCTGGTCCCAGAGTTGGCAACTTGCTGACCAAAAATTTTCGTGACCTCGTAAATAGGAGTTACAACGGCCATAAGTAATTATTTTGAGGATATGGGACCGTAGTTAGGTGCAGATTAAATTGCCAAAATTTCAGCCCTTGTCGCTTTCCTGGATCTTGAGATGAGTAAATAGCAGCGCGCGCCAGACTAGCCGGTGCGATCATGTGTTTTGTGCAATTCAGTCCATAACGATATTTGCCTGTTAATGATTTTCACTGCTTTGTACTTTAGTCTATGCAAAAATAGTTCAAACATTGAAAACCAGACTGCCTATTAATGATTTTCACTGCTTTGTACTTTAGTCTATGCAAAAATAGTTCAAACACTGGAAAATAATTAAAAATTTCACGCACCAGCGCATGAAAGCTGAATTCGAAATCTTAAAGGGTGAATATCTTTCGGTGATTCCCGAGCTAATAGTTTACCCGCCAAAATTTTCACGAGGCCGTAGGTGATACTCAACAGCGCGGGAACGCTAAATTTGAATGGACAAGGTTGGACGTGAGCAGGGGGTCATCACCCTAAAATTTCAGTTCCCTAGACCTCGTGGTTCCCGAGATAATAATTTACCGTAAAAACTTTCACTAGCCCGCAGGTGATACCCAAGAGCGCGCGAACGCTGAATTTAAATGGGCAAGGTTGAGCGTGGGCAGTGGGCCATTACCCCAAAATTTCAGCCTCCTAGTTTT